TAATAAGGGAGAAATGTGGGATTCACATATAAATCAAGTATAAAAATCAAACGAATAATCATATTTGACCTGATTGTTTATAGTTCATGATGCGTGATCAAACCAAAAGTTTCTGTGATATGACTGCCCTTGCACTCTTCACCATGTAAGAACTTATTCACTATGTAAGAACTTGTTCACCATGTAAGAACTTGTTCATTATGCTTCAGAAGATTGGAGACTGTTGAGAATTAGGCTTGGGGTTGATTAATGATTGTGCATTGAGTCCCCTATACAGAATTTTATTGTTCTTAACAACCATTTGATCAATAAATATGAGAGATGCCTTCTCAAAAAAAAAAAATATTATAGAAGTATTATAAACGTAAAAAAAATAACCTAGTTTTTCCAAATTTAGCTGATGCTCTCATCTTTCTGATGTCCTATCTCCCATAAAATTAATTTTCAATTAGGGTTGCATTCGATTTTAAAAAATTGTGTCAAGAATATAGTCAATAGTGACAAGTACAGCAAATCAGAAAATAGGCCCCTCAGCAACAAGGAACAAAGAAATGAGATTTATTCAGCTTGGAAGTCAGTTGATTGTGGAATGAGTTAATGACCATTAAGTATGTATTAGTCTTCATCACAGGGTACCTGTTAATCAAAACAGCCAAAATGAACAAAACTTCTCTAATCTATAATATAAATATTTGTTACTAATGTAAATAACAGACTTTTGTAAATCTTCAACATAACAGCTCTTTTCAATCTAGGATGACTTTAATGAAGGATTATTTTATAAAGACTCAAAAACTTACTTCTTAAAACTTCTATTAATTTCCTACGTTGTTGTTTGTACATGAAGTGTTCTTAATACACAAAAAAGAATTTTATGTAAAGATGTACTACCCCAATAACATGGCAAAAGTTATGAGAAAGAAACGTGAGCCAGGTATACCTAAATTGTCCACATCTGAGTTTCCTGATAGTAGGAGCAATCCTCCTTGCTCCTGGCTTCCTAATTCCATGAGGGAGCTTTTTCTGAAGCACATGTCTGATCTCCCGCCTTCCATCTAACTTTTATCCAAGGAAGAAGAATGACTTATGCAATTAGTATGCTTGGATGAAAATGGGCATTCACAACTCAATCCCTTTGGGATCTCCTCTTTAGGGTTTTTCTAGCAACAGGAAGAATACATTCCAGTCTGTTCTATGCCGTGTGGAAAACCAAAGGAAGCCTGCTGCTGTCCAGCTGAACCAGTAACACGTTGGCGGGGTGGGGGTGTGTGTAAGTCTACCTTAATGTAGGAGTGAAATATTAAGGTCCACAGTAATTACACACCTAAAACATATCTTCCAAGTCATCCTTTTCTTAAAAATCAAGAAGCTAACATTTTGATCTCCTATCAGACTCCTGTGTATCTCTCAAATCATACTGAGCTAGAAAGCAGATGAGAGGAATGGTTTATTGCTCCCTCTGACCACCAATCCCAACAATTAGGAAAAACGATGTTTACCTATATGCAAGATATTAAGTAGAATTCTTCCTGATGGTGTACTATCCTTAAATATCACAATTACTATGTCACCATTTAATTATAAAAATATTACAATGTAGCCTAAAAAGTTTGCCCAAAAATCTTACCTTAACAAAACGTTCGTATCGCGCCTTCACTATTGGGTTATTTAGAATGCTTGTAGCAGTCAAGACACTCTCTCTTTTTATTTGTTCTTTATAAGCCTATGAAAAATAGAATATACAGCTGAGGTATTTGAGAACCATGCAATGAAAATATTTCCCTAATTGAAATGGCATTGTACGCTCACATCCTGATATTTAAATTATTTGCTTTCTGCTATATTAAGCTATAAAGCAACATCCACTGTGAACACAATCTAAATCACCTATGGATTAAAACAACGAAGATGCAGTAAGTTGATTAGCTTCAATTAAAAAACAATCACCAAGGGACTCTCTTATCCCCACTCCTGGCGTGAGCCGGGAGCTCTGTCCTTTCACTGTATCTCTAAATAAAAGCCTGTACCTTGCTCTCCTAAAAAAAAAATAAAATAAGATAAAATAAATAAAAATTAAAATTAAATTTAAAAAAAAAACAATCACCAAATACTGTAAGTCTAGGTCTTCTAGACACTGCTCTCTCCTTTCTACTCTACAACCACGAAACCCAGCCCCAACTACTCCAACTATTCATTTTCATGCTATCAAAATAGAATTGTTCACATTGCCAGAGTAATTAGTCTTCCTCTGCACTGTAGCTGGCATAAGACTGTATCATACAAAACAGGAAAGGTTATAAAATGGAATGTTTAGTTGTCAAAAGGTGTCAAGAGAATATCATAAAAGAGAAAAGACAAAGATTTTTAAAAGATTATGTGTTCGAAGTGGCTAAAAGTCTGAGTTAAATGAGATTCATTCGATTCATTCAACAGAAAATATGAATTTAAGATAGATATGCCATATTTAACACTTAAGTCTTTAAAATTTAATTTTTTAATTTGCCTTTCAAACAATTTCTCACAATATAAACATTTTTTATTTGAAGTAAATTTGACTTAAAAAAACCAATCAATACAGAAGCAGAAAAACATAAATCAAAAAGAAAAATTTTCCTAGAATTTTTTAGTAAATTCTACTCAAAAATATAATAGATAGTAACTGGTAATGCTAGTTTTTAATTTACTTTTCCCAAACATCAGAAAATGTTATAATCAAATTTTTCCTTTCTTTTTTTGTTCTCACACTCACACACACACACTCCTAAACATATTCTGTACCAACCTAAAAAAAATGTGAACAATAAAAAGAACAGTTTAACAACAGCTATGATTTCCTGAATGCTTACTATGTGCCAAGCACTATTTTAAATGCCTTTTATACTTAATTAACCTAATCCTTAAGCAGTCACATAAGAGTAGAATGATTATCCATGCCATTTTAAAGATAAAGAAACTCAGACAAAAGTTAATTTACTTGCTTATATTATGTACTGAACCAGGCTTCAAACCCAGGAATTCTCACTCTAGCCCACAGTCTTAACCACTATGCCACAATGCCTCTCTAGGTATCTTTACAGTTGTTCTCATATGAGATTAACAGGACCATACACAAGTAGACAGCACAACAGCCTTTAAAGGACAATAAGTGACTGATGAACAATTCAATGACTTCACTACAATAGATCAAAACCTACCTGCTTCCCTTTGATATGATCAGGAGATTTTAAGTGCTGCTGAACTGAACTATGTAAAGCAGGAATATACACACCGCAAGCACTACAGTGAACAGTTTCTACTTTCATCATGTGATCATCTGCAGTAACACCTACAGAAGAAATCCATTTACTAGTAAGAAAAGTAATGATTTACATATCTTATTTCTGATAAAACTTCCACTATTTTGTTTCCATGATTATTTATACCCTTTCTTCCAAAAAAAGGATCAGAGTATGTACATTGAGTGTTTCTAACTACATCTCATAAATCTCCATATATAGATTTAAAATACATGGCAACATTAAAATTAAAACATGTAATTACATTGTACTTCCTAATTAGTTATACAATTATGCTCTGAGGCCTGTAAGTTCACCCCAAAAAAATGTAATACAAACGAAAACAAATGTTGATTGTGCAGTAAAATAAGAATTGCCATGATTATGAATGTGGGTGGGCAGGGATGGGGAAAAGATGTTAAAACTGAACTCATAAGGAACAAAATAAATGTTGGATCTTCAAATGGTGACTGAAGTTTACTGCAGGTAAAGGTTTAACTATATGCAAGACATAGATGTCAAAGAAAATGGCACCTTCTGGGAATTGCCAAGTAATCAATATGGCTAGGGCACAGAATATAAAGGGGCAAAAGAGAAAAAGAGCAGGGACTAGACATGGAGAGCTTTGTGTCCCATGCCTTGGAATCTGGACTTCACCCTGAAGGGAATGCGGGAGCCACTGGAAAACCCTGAAGTAATGAAACCAAGTAGAATTAGAGATAAAAAAGACCAAAGGAAACTAATTAGGAAAATATTTCGTTGTCAAGAGAACAAAGATTTGAGCAAATGCAAAATTTAAAGGGGAGGTGTAGAAACAAACTTGATGGATATTTGAAAGACAAACATTATGACACAATGCTACAGAGAGAGAGTAAAGTAAAAATATTTAGGATTAACATCATACTTCTGACTTTGGTGTTGGAGTCACTTTCACAGATAAGAGTAAGAAGCTATTCGTTGAGTTTTTGTTTTATTTTTTTTTAATTGGGTGGGAGATGCTCAAAGAGAGAATATTTATTTTGAGTGTGTTCATTTTGTGAGACTGCTTCAGACAGGTGACAAGGCAGTTGGATGTATATGAGATTAGAGTTCAGGAGATCTGTGCTAGAGATACAGATGTATAAGTAATCAACATATAGATATTAATTTAAGCTCTGTAAGTAAATGAATTCATCAAGAAGGAATATAAAGAGAGGTGATAATGAGATTAATGACAGAATACTGGAAAATACCAATTTCTAAAACCCTGGTAGAGAAAGAAAAGCAGAGTGAAAAATGACAAGGGAATAAAGAGATCAGGACTTGAGATACCATAGAAATCAAGGGAGAAAACAGATTTACTGAAATAGAGTTATCAGTGAAAATTGTTACAGAAGATAGATAGTCAAAAGAACTGAAGTTGGCACTGGCAACCTCCATGAGAGCAGTCTCAGTAGACTAAAGGTGGCAGAAAGTTGTCTCCTGTGGGTGAAGTAATAAATAACAAGTGAGGCGACAGAGAGTAGTGATGACTATGCTTAAGATGTTTGGTTGTTTAAACTGAGAAGCAGATGTTTTTAGGGAAACTAGTGTCTATTTTTTTTCTTTTGTTCCTTTGGAATTTTTTTGTTTTTGTTTGGTTGGGTTTTGTTTTTGTTAAAGATAAGAGCATAGGTTTCAGAGGTGGAATCAAAAGAGAAGGAAAGACTGAAAAACAGAAACATTCACTATTTGAGCAAAAGTCCTCAAAATAAGAAGGGATAAGAGAGACGAGAGAAAAGTGTCTTCTATCTGGAGGAAAAGCTGATTTGTCCTCTAACACTCAAGTGAAAGATATAAGGGTAGGGAGAGCTAAATCTGTAAACGTGAAAACAGGAAGTCAAAGGAGTCCATCCCCTCTAGTGCATTCAGGGTCATCACAGATGACTGTGTGCTCTGTCACTCTAGTGGGCACCATGCACACTGGAGTAGGAGATGGAGTGTGAAACAGACATTTAAATCTCTAAAACAATTTGTTTAAATACTTACCTTCCATGACGTCTTTTTCAATTATTTTGACTACTTCTGTTTGATTATTTGTCTGTTGCTTACGAATAGATGTTTTCTTGAATTTATTCACCATACATTCCTATAAAATACAATAGGAAGAATCTAAACAGTTTTTAGTGAGCATCTACATATGCCACACATAATGCCTGTCCAGTGGAAAATAACAATGTCTCTTGTATAAAAGAACTAACACCTGTTTTCAAGACATTACAATTAGTTGAAAAACTGTCATAAAATACTAGGAGACTACAAGAAGTATTCAGTTTCAAAATGTATTTTAGGCATATAGACAAGGAGCAAAGACAGCTAAAATACTCAAGAGGCAGAACAGGTGAGTACTTAAGTCCTTCATTACATTACAGTTAGGAAACAGTTAAGGAACAAGGTTACAGAAAAATTTTAACTAAGGTACACAGTTCTGCAAGAATATAGAGTAGTGGATGATCACTGTACTTCTAACCTCCTAACAATTCCATCTCTTTTGCTCAAATTAATTGTATGTACATCCAGCTACTCACTTCCTTACACATCCCCAGTGCCAACTATCCTCCCGTCATCTGTGAGTATATTCTATTTCCAAGTATTATTAGTTCACTGAGCACAGCACCTGTGTCTTCAGTGCCTGCATACCACCTTTCGTAAATATTCAAAAAAAATTGTTGAACTTTCCAGATGCAGTTCATTATCTTTTTCTTCAAATGTTTGAAATTTACAAAATGAACATGTGAATGCCATTCTATAAGGGAAAAAGTTTTTCTTTGAATATTACCTTATTTACTTAGAAGGACATGACTAAGCCAAGGACATTAGCTCTGGCTCTAAATTCAGACTGCTGCTAACTGAGAAGAATCACTAAACTGCTCTGAGCATCATCTTTCATAGTAAAAAGAATTTGCTGTGAGGCGCAAATGAAATAATGAGTCAAAGTACCCAGCACAACAGCTAGTTGCTGTGCTTTCAAAGTGTGGCACCTGTACTCTCAAAGGATAATAGCTGATTCTGCATCAATAAATATTTGTGAAAGGAATTCTTTTACTGACATCTCTGCTGGAAACTGAGAGATGTACAAGTCTCTCAAATAACAAATCTAAAATCTACTACAGGGGAATTCAAATCCAGTTCTGGGCTAATTTTAAAGCAACTCTTTTTCTAAGTAAATAGTAAATTTTTAGAAACATAAAATGTGAGACAGGGAACTATGAAAATACAAGAAATTCAAATGTCTGATACAGTGCTTTTCACTTCAAAAACAGCTACTTACATGCAAAAACTCCATAACTACTTTATCAAATTTGGTTTGTTTCTGAATATGATCTAATGTTTCCTGGTGTGAAGAACTTTCCAGATGCAGTTCAATATCTTTTTCTTCAAATGTTCGAAATTTACAAAATGAACATGTGAATGCCATTCTATAAGGGAAAAAAAGTTTTTCTTTAAATATTACCTTATTTACTTAGAAGGAGTTCATAAGACTATAACAATGAAATTAATTTTACAAGGATAAAGGATTTCCTTTCTTCCATTTTATGGTTGATTTAAATTTCACTTACATCAAAGGAAAAAAAAGAATAAATAGATGAAACAGTATTTCTTTAAGTACCTATTTGGACAATAGTCATTAAACCACTTTGTATTTCTGGCCAACCCTGGGACTTCTGAGAATGAAAGATGAAATCAGTGAATCTAATCCTAAACTATCCACTTCAAGCCCAGACCAGTTATAAAGCCAAAGTTAACCCCAAGACATACCAAGTTCCAAAGTTCCACCACTTACACTGTTTGATCCACAAACTTCCAAACCACTAAGATAGTACCAACAACGCCCCATGGAACACCAACAGTAATTCACTCCTTTGGAGGTCTTAGGTGATCAAGTCCTACCCCTGAAAGACTTCAGGATGATTAAAAGGCCTGAACTGGACAAATGCACACATTTAGAAGCTCAGGAGCCACTGCAGAAAATTTCCCCTTTTATTCCTTTTTAATTGTTCCTGTATTATGTATTCTTATTTCCTTTCCCTTGAATTATGACAAGAGTTTCCTGATTGGCTTCTCTGCCTCCAATCTCCATTTTCTAAATAATTCCTTACACTACTATTGTATTTATTTTCCTGGTTAATATGGGATCTGAAGCTTACTACTAGGTTTATTCTAGCCCCCTTGTGTGACCTTGGGCTGTTTTCTTATCTTAATGAGGTAAGAATCCTCATAGAAGTATCATTAAGATTTTTAAAAATAAATATAAAGCCTTAGAAGAGTTCCTGATACATAGTAATTATTCAATTAATACTGTTACTTCCTAAACGAGACTAGAGCACATTACTGCTCAGAAGACTTCACTGGCTCTTTTAAGGCTCAAAAAACAAGGTCAAAACATTTTCAGATGCCATTTAAGAAAGTTCTTAATCTCCCCTTTTTGGCTTTAACCACTAATACCTTCAGCATTATCTAGCACATATTATGTCTCCATTAAATGTTTAAATTAGATTATATCTTTCACCTCACTAGAGTCATTTTCAATCCACACATCTTTCCATTTCCTGAATATCAATGAAAGATTCCTGTTTCTTTGCTTGTACTTCAAGCCATGCCCTCTACCTGGGCTGCCTAACAACTACCACTTCTCAATCAGTCGAAATACCACCTTTGCCCATTTCCCTGATCTGCCTGCATTTCTATTTAGAAGTTATCTCCTGTAAGACCACTTTATACTTCTCTTTGGCACTCTTCACTACATTCTGTGTTTGTCTACACCTCTCACATGTAATAGTTATTTACTGTCAATCTCTTATCCTCATAACTCAAAGTAAAACTGCTCTGGCAAATTTAAATAATTTAAGACTATTTTAAAATTACAACTTAATTGAATTGACAATTTTTTGGTTATATCATCAAGTTTATATTTAGAGTTATGCAGCAAACAGCTAAATGAAAGTTCAGTTTCTCCAAATCACTACATTTATTATATTAACATGGATATGTCATATCCAAATACACAGTTTTTAATGGGGAAACTATTCATAGGACAATTAAATAGAAAAGTTACTCTTAGAATGTGAAATCATCTTTTTGGACTCCTACACATTTGATACAGAGTTCGTTTCAATTTTTTTCTGCACCAAAGTAGCTAAGCCCATTACCTTTGTCAAAAGAACAAAATATAGCACAGTGGGAGAGATACTCACAAGGACCAAAAATAGCTACCTCTTAAAACTTGAATTTCCTTTTATGGGTTAATTTTTAATAAGCTTAATCCTATTGTTTCTCAGGTCCCAACAAGGAATAACAAACCAAAAAGAGCATAGGAAAAGGTCATTAAAGCTAGATGCAAAGATTACACAAGTAAAACATAATAGACTAAAATCAAAGGCTGTCTAAACAAAAACATGGAAATTTAGGTGCAACTGAATTTCTTTTACTATATTTTACATGAATAAAACAATGTATATATTAAAACCAAGTATTAACACAGAGTATCCTATTTAATATGGAAGGAAACTCTTATTTTTAAAATATCTCCATGGGAAGGTTTGCAGATTCTCCTCTTAAAATGTTCTCTTTTGACTAAGACAAAGTTTTAGACATCTAGAAAATTCACTGAAGTGAAATATTTTGTTCTCTTTATTCTACATGAGCAAATGAACTTTTAAAAAAGCAAAACTCCATTTTGAGTAGGGAATACAATGAATTTACTTCTTAAATTTTATATTCTTTGTTTTCTAAGCATAAGCAGAACCTAGGCATATTTCAGAGAACAAAGATGAAAAAAAAATTATTATCCTTTTAAAAAAATTTCCTAGTCTTTTATCTATGTATAATTTCACATCTTACATATATATTTTCCTATTTTGCCTGCATTTTCTCCATGTTATTACAGGCTTTACAATCTTCATTTTTAACAACAGCCTAAGAGCCCATGAAGGGATGTGTTCAGTCTTACAAATACTTAATCACTCTATGCTGCTGATATGTTTCATGGTTGGAGTTATTATAAATAATGTTATGGATGTCTTTTTAGATTAAATTTCTTTTTATATTTTTAGATTACTTTCTTGGGGAATGCGAGTATAAACTGAGTATAAAAAAGTCAAGATTTTTTTAAAACTGCAAAATCACTTCCCATTAGTTATAACCATATTATACTGTCACCAGCAAATTTTAAGTGTTCTTTAACTGTATCTTAGTAAATCATTTTTCTCCTAATGAAATGCCATATTATATGAAGTTTCAGTTTATTTAACTTAACAGTAAGTTTCAACACTTTCTTTAAAATTATTAACTAGCTATTATTGTTCCTTCACCAAATTGTGTTTCAGGAATCTTCCCTTACTTTTAAAATGTTCTGGTTGGGTGATGGTTACCTAACTTAGATATTAATTATTTCTCAGGTTTATGTTTTCCAAGTCTGTTTGCTTTCAAGTTTTAAACTTTTTAAAACAAATCTCATCATTTCCTTTGTAATTTATTCTAATTTTTAAGCCTAAGAAAAAAGTTCTTGCAGTGATTAAAATATTCGATTTCATTTTCCTGTTATTTCCCATTTTTTTAGTTCTTTAACCTATCTGGATTCATCCACATTGGTTCAAGAGGATCTGAATTACTTTTCTGGTTATTCTTGTTAAGCAGTTCCCCTTTCAGTTGCAATATCTTCTATATTATATTTAACATTCTTACATATAATGTATGTTTACACATTAATAATTCTGATACACTGATTACTTTTTCACACCACCACGTATTTCTAACTATTACAACTTACTAATGTTTCAATATCTAGAAAAGTTAATACCTACTCATTTACTCTTTTTCAGAATTTCCTTGAATCAACACTGGGAAGACCTGATATGTTTATGTTTAGTTTTCTTATCCAAGAATATCAGTATATTTCCATATAGTCAAATCTCAAGAAGACTGTGGTTTTCCTTGTTATGACATGTATTTCTTTTTAAGAATACTATACATACCTGGGTACTTTGTATTTTGGGATTATCATTATGAATGGGACTCTTCTTATATTTTCTAAGTGGTGATAACATATAAGTATAAAAGCTCAAGGGCACTCGTATATATCTTTCATCAAACCTTTTCATTTGACTCTCAGGAATTTTTTTATATCCCATCGGATATATTTGTCTTTTGTAAGAAACTCATTTTTAATAAGCCCAATTTTCAGGCTCTGCTAAAATAAGCACAAACCTGTATCCATCTCCGTATTTCTCACTGTTTTTTTCTCTTCTGCGCCTTTGTTTTTCTCGCCGAGCCTCGATACGTCGCTTTTCTTCTTCTTCATTTTTAGGATCAGTTTTTGCTAGAATATTGGACAAAAAAGCCAAAGCTACAATCATTTTCCCCTTTATAGTTCCCAGTTCATAAAGTACAGACATACAAGGTTTATTTGATGATAATAATCTAAATTGAACTTAACAGGAAAATCAGTTTAATATTACCCAGTATTTCTGGAACTCCATTCATTTGAATACCATCATCATGAAATCTGCCATATTTAATTCTCATCTATGTGGTTATTTGCCTTTTTTAATTTGTTTCTCTTTGTGTTTTAAGGGTCTATGTCTGTAGTAAACTGAAATGTTAACAGAAAGCAGCTGAGCCCCAGCACTCGGCCCACAGGAGTGCAGGCATGTGGTTATTTGCTTTTAAAGTATTTTTCTTTTATTTAATATGCCCCACTTTTCAGCTGGGCGGAGCCAAGATGGCAGCATGAGTAAAGCAGCAGAAATCTCCTCCCAAAACCACATATATTTTTGAAAATACAACAAATACAACTCTTCCTAATATGCCCACTTTTTCTTCTCCTCATTTTAAGAAATAATATCCATATTACCTAAAATCATTACGAATACCAGTTTGGGAAACACTAAAGTAACCTGACCCTGTATGAAAATTAACTTCAGTGAATACTGGAGAGCCCTGGATATGAAAACTTGTATATATTATAGCAACTTCCTCAAAATTTTTTATATGTAAAAACTCTAAAGGCAGGTCACCTTCAAAAAAAAGACCTTTTTAATGTAAATAAATGTAATAAAATACATGGTTCAAAATTTACCATTTTAACCATTTCAGAGTCTATAATAATTCAATGGCATCAAAACACATCACAGTGTCGTGCAACCATCAGCACTATTTAGTTTCAGAGCTTTTTCATCACCAGACAGAAACTCCATACCTATTAAGCAGTCACTCCCAAATTACCTTTTCCCCAAGTCCCTGGTAACTTCTAATCTGCTTTCTACCTTTATTGATAGCCCTATTCTGGATATTTCATATAAACAGAATAGTACAATATGTGGCCTAGCCTTTTCTGTCTGGCTTCTTTTATTTTGCATCGTTTTCAAGGTTCATCATATGTTGTACCATGTATCAGTATGTCTTTCCTTTATGTGGCTGAATATCCCATTGTTTGGAGATATTCTTTTTTATCCATTCATCTGTTGATGAAATGTGGATTGTTGCCACATTCTGTGTTTTGTGAATGGTGCTATGAACATTTGATTACAAGTTTTTTTGAAAACTTCAATTTTTATACCTATATCCTTAGAAATGGAACTGCTGTCATAGGATCATCTTTAATTATCTGAGGAACAACTAAACTGTTCCCCACAGCAGCTGCATCATTTTACATTCCCACCAGTAATGTGAAAGGGTTCCAATTTCTCCACATCATCACCAACACTTGTTTTCTTAAATTTTTTTATATATGGATTTTTTTATTTTGGTATCATTAATAAACAATCACATAAGCAACATTGTGGTTACTAGATACCCCCAATTATCAAGTCTCCACCACACACCCCATTACAGTCACTGTCCATCAGCATAGTAAGATGCCACAGTCACTACTTCTCTTCTCTGTGCTATACTGCCTTCCCCGTGCACATGCCCCATGTTGTGTGTGCTCATCGTAATGTCACTTACTCCCATTCTCCCTCCCTTCCAATCCACCCTCCCCAGTTCCTTTCCCTTTGGTAACTGGTAGTCGTTCATCGGTTCTGTGAGTTTGCTGCTGTGTTGTTCCTCCAATTTTTGCTTTGTTCTTATGCTCCGCAGATGAGTGAAATCATTTGGTACTTGTCTTTCTCTGCATGGCTTATTTCATTGAGTTTATACCCTCTAGCTCCATCCATGCTGTTGCAAATGGTAAGATTTGTTTTCTTCTTATGGCTGAATAGTATTGCATTGTGTATGTGTACCACCTCTTCTTTATCCATTCATCTACTGATGGACACTTAAGTTGCTTCCAATTCTTGGCTACTGTAAATAGTGCTGCGATAAACATGGGTGCATATGTCTTTTTCAAACTGGAATCCTGCATTCCTAGGGTAAATTCCTAAGAGTGGAATTCCTGGGTCAAATGGTATTTCTACTTTCAGTTTTTTGAGGAACCTCCATACTGCTTTCCACAATGGTTGAACTAGTTTACATTCCCTCCAGCAGTGTAGGAGGGTTCCCCTTTCTCCACATCCTCACCAGCATTTGTTGTTCTTAGTCTTTTCTAAGTTGGCCATCCTAACTGGTGTGAGGTGATATCTGATTGTGGTTTTAATTTGCATTTCCCTGACAATTAGCAATGTGGAGCATCTTTTCATGTGCCTGCTGGCCATCTGAATTTCTTCTTTGGAGAAGTGTCTGTTCATACCCTCTGCCCATTTTTTAATAGGGTTATTTGCTTTTTGGGTGTTGAGGCATATGAGTTCTCTATATATATTTTGGATATTAACCCCTTGTCCAATATGTCATTTACAAATATATTCTCCCATACTGTAGGAGGCCTTTCCTGCTGATGGCATCCTTTGCTGTACAGAAGCTTTTTTTTACCATGATATAGTCCTATTTGTTCATTTTTTATTTTGTTTTCCTTGCCCAAGGAGATGCGTTCAGGAAAAAGTTGCTCATGTTTATATTTAAGAGATTTTTGCCTATGTTTTCTTCTAAGTGTTTTATGGTTTCATGACTTACATTTACATTCAGGTCTTTGATCCATTTTGAGTTTACTTTTATGTATGGGGTTGGACAATAATCCAGTTTCATTCTCTTGCATGTAGCTGTCCAGTTTGCCAACACCTCTTTTTCATTATTGCCATACACTTTACACAGTGTGAAGTGGTATCTTATTGTGAGCAGGTTCTTTTTATAATACAATTTAACTTTAGACTAAAAAACTTATCTGCCTTTAAATTTTCCTTTTATGCATTGCTTACCCGTTTGGATTGCCTTTGGTAAAATATCTAATACAAAATCATGAACACCTGGGGATTCATAAATTTGACAGTGAATATTTATTAACCACTTACTACATATATAGTGGGATGTTTCAAAATTATATAAAATCAGTACCTTAAAATTATTTTGATTTTCATTTTATAAGAGCTTAAATGTACATTCATACTTTATTAACTATTTTCAATATCCTTATTCAGTTTCCCCCAAATCTTCACTCTATGGAAATCCACTTGTATATGACCTTAAACCACAAGTAATTTCTTTGCCTTTCATGATACACTGTACCCCCAAATGACAGAATATGGTTCCTTTCCTACTGCTTTTCAACAAATCATAGTCTATACTACAGTGTAGCAAGACCTTGTATTTCTGAATACTAAACAGATATGCCCACCTCACATGTGACACTGAGAGCCCGATTTGACTATAGAATTTCAGCCTCATTCTTAGCTATATTCTCAAGTTTTGTTAAAAAAGAAAAAGGTTGAATCACACATATCTGATTTAAAGGCAAATCAGTTTATCAAATGTTGCAGTATTTATTTAATTTAATTGCAAAATATATCTTTGAAATCTGCCCCAAGAGAGAGGATCAACTGAATTGCCTATTCTAGTAATACCTAGAGTGGTGAATAACAATCTAACCATTAACAAAGTATAAAAGGTATCCCCACAATACATATTCCACTAACTTGGGATCATGTTTGTAGAATTCCAGAATATTGCTCTTTTTTATTAAACAGTATAGGTATCAATTGCAAAGCATGGCAGGAAGGTAGATTTATGAATAGCTTTGAAACCTTTCCTGGGTTTTATGTTACAGTTCATACATTTTGAGGGGAAAAAAATCTAACATTTGCAAATTCAGTTATTTTTTTCAAATGATACATTAATTCTGTGCCTGTTTTCTCAGCTGTAGAGGGTTTGATATGCATCCCTACAGAGGCTGATGTGAGAATTACGTTAAGTAATGTATGATACACCCTTTAACACAATGCCTAGTACACGGTAAGCCCTCAGTTTAAGTGTTAGCTTACTATTATTAATGATTACTGTAATCTCCACTTTTATCAAATTGGATACATGTATTAATTCTTAAGCAATTCAAGTGGAAATGAAATTCAAGAAACAAAACATTCTGTCAGTACCCAAAAATGTGTAATAAAAAATACCATTTTGAAATGAACTAGGACTTATCTAGGCCTCCTTGCTTCTCTTCTCCTCTAATAATTATTTAAAGGCTATCACAACTTAACACCTCCAACATTAAAGGAATACATTCTAATAAATCACTATAATGCTCAATAGATCTTTTTTAAATGGGCATAAAAAACTTGAAAAATTTGATCAGAAAACTTGGAATATTAATTTATTACAATTTTTTAAACCTTCTTCAGTCCTGACTTAATTAAATGATCAAATATTAATTCTAAATAAGAGAGTAATTTTTACATGCCTGCAATATCACCTAACTTGAAAGGACAAAACACTTCTCAGTCACCAAAGCAAAAATAAATATATTCAAAAACAAAAAATAATTTCATGTATTGAACTACTCAAAAATAGGCAAAATATCTTCTGTATATTATTTTGCTATTGTATGTTTTCAGAAAGAACACAGAAAAACACATTTTCTTAGCTTTAATTTATGTAATGACTTACTCTAATTTGATCAAATGCACTTGATTTCCTTTAGTGATACATTATGAAGTTAAAAAGTAGAATAATAACAAAATATTAACAGTAAGTTGGCTCTGAATTTTTTTTTAAAAGCTTGAGAAATAAATCACATACAATTCACCCATCTAAAAGGCATAAATACAATGGATTTTAGTATATTCACTGATATGTGGAAACATCACCATAATCAATTTTAGATCATTTTCATCAACTCAAACTCACAAAGAAAGTGGTATCTTATTGTGAGCAGGTTCTTTTTATAATACAATTTAACTTTAGACTAAAAAACTTATCTGCCTTTAAATTTTCCTTTTATGCATTGCTTACCCGTTTGGATTGCCTTTGGTAAAATATCTAATACAAAATCATGAACACCTGGGGATTCAT